GCAACAAATGTACAAATGTGCTTGACACAATGGATGTATGTATAGATGTGATGAGTTGTACGAGCCCCCAGTAAAATGGTTTTTTTTAAAAAGAACACAACCCATTATTCATTTCTGTAAGAAGTTTTTTAATCATCCAAGTAACTTGTACTCTGTTAGCATTTTCAAATGGCCCACAGAGTTAGAATAAAATAGAGGTAATTCTTTAACTCACAGTGATCTACCATCGATTTCCAGATTAACTTTTCTGACAAAATAGGGGAAGAAAAGGTTCATCTCCTTTCTCTTTAGCATTTTTATAATGATTTAATATTTTTATGCATAGTCAATTTTAAATGCCTGGAATTCTACTGCTTCTACATCTTTAACTATATGAATATGTGATTACACTAAGTTTTGCATTGACTGTCTAGTTTCTACTGCTATACCAGGTATATAGCCCATGGCATAAACATATATTATAGAATATATAATATACTACATGGTATATTATAGACAAGTTCTTATGATGAAAACACACTTTTCAGATACAAAGAATCATATTTTGCCCTTTTTTATAAAAATTGCTCTCCAGTCTTGGGTTGGGAAAGGAGAAAGTGAAGATGTATGAGATTTCCAGCTGATGTACACAAGGAGAATTTGAATCAGCAGGTGGGAGAGAGTCAAAAAATGGAAATGAAATGTTTATTTGTGTCCGTTCCAGGGAAAACCAAGGTTTTCATTCATTTTCCAATGTTCTCTAATTTCTTCCTAGTTGTTATGAATCAGGTACCCTGTCATTGGAGACTTGTTAGTCATGTATGGTGTCATAAATATTTTTCTCAGCTGGATAAAAAAATAAATCTACATTTTGAAAGTTTCATTTTGAAATCCTGAAACCCAAAGGGCTAGCTGTCAGAAACACTCTGTCACCGTTGGGGTAGAGTGATGCGAAACAAAGGGAAAGCAAGCCAAACTCACAGCGGCCCCATAGCTAGAACGAGAGCGAACTGCCCCTGTGGGTTTCTGAGCCTCCCACTCTCCACGTGCGTGTACACAGTCACCCACCACACCCAACCCTAGATCAAGCCAAAGCAACACACACTGCACACATTGAAATTGCACTGTGTACAAGTTCTGTGAGGAACTATAAAGAGAATGTATAAGATTCTCTATATAGAGAATCTTAAAGCATAGTTCTTTTTCTCAGCTTAGCTGAGTTAGAAAAATGAGTAAGAGACTGGCCTCTGATATTTTGTAAAATCACTGATTTAGTTAGTACTTTATACATTCCTGTGAAGATCTTGTTGCTACCCCAAAACTCAAGGCCATCGGTCAATTCCAACTCCTAAGGACCTATACAGCAGACCAGAACTGTCTCAGGAGGTTTCCCAAGCTACGACTTTCAGGGATGCGCCCCACCACACTTTTCTCCTCAGAGCTCCTGGTGGGCTCAAACTGCTTGCCTTTGAGTTAGTGGTGGCTTTTAACCACAGGGCCACCATGGGCCCTCATAGAATTGCTAAATCCAGTTACTACTTTTGTTGTGATGATTAAGGGAGGAAATAGGTAAACATTCTGCACAATAAAATGCAGTATAACTAGGGATTAAAAAAAACATAGAGTTTAGAATTAAATTAAGATTAGTCTGTATCCCAACTTCACCCCTTCCTTAGCTGAATATCCTAGAGTTATTTAATAAAAGTATTAAAATAATTGCTTGCAACTCCAAGGATTTCTATGAGGATTACATAAACTTACAAATGTAAATTCCCTGATATACTGTGAGCATTCAGTAAATGTTCCATTATGACTTGGATAATGTTATTTCTTCCCTGTCTTTAAACTTCTCCATAGCAGCACAGTGATTCCCACCATGACATAAACTCTATTTAATTACGGTGTGCTTTGTTCATCCAATTAATTCCTTACCATTGTTTAAAGTTTCACTATTTAATTTTTTTTCTTAGTTTTCTGGGCTCAACAAAGCTTCTACCCTTAATTCTAGCCATCAAGGTGAGGTCAGTGGTAATGAAACCAACTGGATCCCCTTGGGTTCTCACTGCTGACACCCCTAACCACCCAAACCCACTGCTACGGAGTCGCTTCCGACTCACCACGCCCCTGTAGGACGGGGCAGAGCGGCCCCTGTGTCTGAGACTGCAACTCTTTACAGGAGTAAGCCTCATGGTTCTCCGGCAGAGCGGCTGGTCACTTCAAAACTGCAGCTAGCGGCCTCCAAAAAGTCATTATTCTTTAATAATAGATATTCAATAGTAGCAAAGTGCAATTTCACAAGCACTTCATAACATAGTTTTTTCAGTAGAAGCAATCTGCCCTGCTGTTGGTTACATTGTAGAGTGTTGTTTTTTAATGATATTCTAACATTGCAAACAGGTAAAAAAAGAACATGAGAGATATATTATTACACCCTTAACAAACCACTAAATTTAGAGTTGGAAGATATGAAATCAAATTTCAATGCCAATATTCACTATTTATGTGGTACTCATTCATTTTTCCATTTGCAATTTCTATTTGCATTTCCAATTAATTATTGAGCATTTACTATGAGCTAGGTAATATTCAAGGCCCTAGAAATATAAAAACGAACTATATTTAACTGAGCTCTTAGGGGATTGGGGCAGGAGAACAGGGGATCATGGAGTGTCCCTGAGTGGTGCAAACAGTTAGCTTTAGGCTACTTACTGAAAGATTGGCAATTCAAATCTACCTAGAGGTATCTCAGAAGAAAGGCCTGGAAGCTAATTCTGAAAGATCAGCACCACTGGAAAACCTTCACTCTGTCACACCTTGGAGTCGCCAAATGGTAGAATCGATCTGACGGCAACTGGTTTGCTGTGTGGGGGGGTGTTGGGAGTGGGGGGGTGTTAGGGTGGGGGAGCGTGGGGATGAGCAAGGAAGACCACCTAGAGGAACTGATGGTTCAACTGCAATAAAACAATAAATGCAATTTGTTCCAGTTTTCAATATTTTCTGCTTTGTTTTTCATTGAGGTTTTTTCTGTTTCATTCTGTTGTTGTTGCATTGTTTTTATTTATGTTTTTGTTGTTTTGATTTTGTATGTTTTTCTGTACATGGAATCCAGGATAGGTAAATCTATAAAGATAGTTACTGAATTATTAGTTTCCTAGGGGCATAGCAGAAGGCCTGGTAGCATAATCTGATGTTATGTAATGTTATATTATGTAATGTAATGTTATGCTAACCACAAGGTCAGCAGTTCAAACCACCATCCACCCGGCAGGGAAAGACAAGACTTCCTAAAAAGGTCCAATCTTAGAAACCCTCAGGGCAGGACTGTCCCGTCCCCTAGATCACTGTGAGTCGGACTTCTCTTGATAGAGGTGTTTGGTTGTGGTTTTGGAGGGGCGTGGCAGGGCAAGGTGGCAGGAGATGCAGAGCTGCCAATAATGAGTGCAAGGAAGAAGAAATGGCCTAACATTGAGTGTGGTGATGATTGCACAACTCTTTGACCAAGATCGAATTATTGAAATATAAGCTATGCGAATTATAAGTCAATAAACCTGCTAAAAAATTCAATAAACAAAATAGCCAAACAAAAATGAGAATGTTCACTCATTATGAAGCGTGTAATCAGCACCACTTAATAATGTGTAAAAACGGTGTACAAACTTACGCTGAAACCAAAACGGAAGATTTTTAATAAGAAAGGAAGAAATGTGCGCCAGCCATGCACCACGGAAGGAAACGTCAGGCACGAGAGTGCTGACTCCTCGGCTCCAGGAGGAACGCGGGAACAGGTGAGGACAGAGACTCCAACACAGCCCCGGCCATAAGTCTCCTTGTGAGACACGTTACTCTCGACCTTAAGAACAGAGAGAGCTTTAGGGTTTAACAACAGGAACTGCTTTACAGGAGGAGCGGGGCACGGTCAGATTTGCTCGTTCGGAATCCAAATGCAGAGAGGGTATCCGAAAAGAGCAGCAAGTCCTCCTGGCGCACCTCTGCACCAGGAAAGGGGGGGGATAGTGGAGACAGAGTCAAGAGATGATGGGGGACAGACGAAAGGAAGGCCCAGAGAAAGCGGAAGAAAGGAAGCTACGCAATGAGGTGGGTGACGGTGGTAATCACTGACAAAAGAAACCCCAGGGAAGGAGCAGACCCATGAAGAGATTGCGGGATCCACGGGGAACTTCAGGAAAACTGGGGCAACCCGTTCTGGATCAAGTGAACTATCCAAGTTGAATGAGATTATCTCAAAATGTCCTTCCGACCCTATGTTTAAAATCATAGATTTCTAGATTGCTGAAGAATGCTGCTAAGGAACAACTGCCTTTAGAAAAATATTTTTGTAATAGAAAAAGTGAAATTTTTTTGATTACTTAAGGTCTTTTATTTCAAACACTTGATGAATTTTAGCCAACACTATTATTAATTCATTTCATCCATTTTGTTATTCCTTCTTTTTATTTTAATCATTTTATTAGGGGCTCATACAACTCTTATCACAATCCATACATACATCAATTGTGTAAAGCACAGTAAAAGTGAATGTTTACAATACACTATTTATATAAAGAATGTACTCTTGAGCAATGTTTTGGAAAGGTTTGCTCAGAGTAATCGCTTGCATAGGCATAGATAACATGAACATCTCGTGTAACGAACATTCAGCATTTCAAAAATTGGACAATACAGGGTGCAGTATAGCACCGAAGAAACATACAACTTCCCTCTAGCTCTTTAATGCTTCCTCCCCCAACCCCTATCATGACCCCAATTCTACCTTACAAATCTGGCTAAACTAGAGCATGTACACTGGTACAGAGAAGAGCTCGCAACACAGGGAATCCTGGACAGATAACCCCCTCAAGACCAGTAATGAGAGTAGCGATACCAGGAGGGGAAGGGGAAGGTGGAAGGAGAGAGAGGAAACTGATCACAATGATCAACATATAACACACACACACACACACACACACACACATACACGGAACAAACAACAGAAAAGTGGAAGGGAGACAGCGGATGATGTAAGATATGAAAATAATAATTTATAATTTGTCAAGGGTGCATGAGGGAGGGTGGGTATGTAGTTACATAATCTGGTGTCAATTTGAGGATTATGAGTGAAGGGGTGGAGTCTAGTCTGTCAATTGGATTATAGCCAATGAGGCCTCTGTGTGGGCGTGGCCTTCTCCTGAGGATTCTGGGAAATCTGGTTTGTCCTCCTTGGAGGTGGGAGAGACTCTCTGCTCGCTTCCTTGGAGACGCTCTACTGGCAAGGCTGACTTCCTGCGAGACATCCCTGAGGAGAAGCCACATGGACCCACCCTGATGCAGCCCTGGGTGCCGAAGCAGCCGCGTGGAGACTCCTGCCAGCGCTGAGATGCTTACAACGCCATGGGATCCAAAGACTTTCTACCCACTGGCCTGTGGTCGTACTGCATTCGGCATCATTGCATGTGTTTCATGAGTCTGAAGAGGACTTTATAGATTGGTATTGGACATATGGGCTAATATTGGACTTATGGACTTGATCTGGACTGACCTCAGATGTTCTCTCAATATTCAATTGCTATTGTATATAAACGTCTTTGTTATACACATGTGTGTCCATGAATTTGTTTCTCTAGTCTCCCCAGACTAACACAGTGGGGGCGGGAGGGGAAAAAATGAGAAGCTGATACCAAGGGATCAAGTAGAAAGGAAATATTTTTTAAATGATGATGGCTACATAGGTACAAATGTGCTTAACACAGTGGATGGATGGATGGATTGTGATAAAAGCTAAAAGAGCCCCAATAGAATAGTTTTTTAATTGGACAATAGGGGTACAACCTTCCAACCTAATAATGTCTACATTGATTCTTCCTTTTCAGAGCGAAGACATCAATTCTATATCAATTCATCACCACTACTGCCATAAACTAGCTTTCCTGACCATCTGGGGAAATCTTTAGCTCCTGTAAGCCGAAAACCCCTCGCCTCCCATCTTCCATGTTGTCTTACTACTGCCCAGAGCCACAAATGACGGCATCCCTATGCAAAGCCCAGAAGACCCAGAATCTTCACACTGAGCGATTCATCTAGGTTGTGCGATTCATAGACTTCAATAGCATAGTCCTTAATATTCCAGGAAGCGATCCACATTCTCACCCACAATTTAATAATAAATCCTTCTACTGAGGTATACCATTTCAGAACAATTGCAATATTAGCCCTCAAATCTAAACAGTAGTTGTTATGGGTTGAATTGTGTCCCCTGAAAATACATGTTGTAATTCCTAACTGTTATGCTAGTGAACATAATCCCATTTGGGAACTCGGTTTTGTGTGTTATGTTGATGAAGCCGTGCCGGTGTTTGGTGTATCTTACCTCAGCCACTTTTGTGATAAAAGGAACAGGCTGGGCGCAGAAGAAGACGGGCACTGGAAGATTGAAGCTATCTGAAATGGAAGGACTCCGAGGAGGGCCAGCTAGAAAAACTGACGCAAGACCGCCTCCAGAGCACAGGGAGCCTCCCTCCAGCGCTGGTGCCCTGGCCTGACTTCCAGTCTCGACAGGGAGCCTGGTGGCACTGTGGCTATGCGTTGGGTTGCTGACCATAACGTCAGTAGTTTGAAAACACCAGTCGCTCTGTGGGAGAACGATGGGGTTTTCTCTTCATGTAAAGAGTTACAGTCTTGGAAACTCACATGGGGCAGTTATACCCTGTCCTGTACCCCCAAAAAAGAAGCTACAATGTCATTGTGCCATTGTTGACTCATAACAACACCCTGTGGGTTTTCAAGACTGCAACTGTCTACATGAGCAGAAAGCCCAGTCTTCCTCCTACGGAGCTGTTGGTGGTTTAGAACTTCCGACCATGTGAATCCCAGCCCAACACATAACCACTACACCACCAGGGATACCCTGCTCATAGAGTTGCTATAAGCCAATTCACCTTGTCCTCTCTCTCTCTTTTTTAATACTTTTATTTGGGACTGTTACATCTCTTATCACAATCCATACATTCCTCCAATGTGTCAAGCACATTTGCACATATGCCGCCATCATCATTTTCAAAGCATTCTCTTCCCACTTGAGCCCCTGATACCAGCTACCCCTTGTCCTATAGGGTCTCTATAAGTCAAAAGTGAGGTGTATTTTTTTAGTTTTTTCATTACACTATGAGAAAATAAAGTTCTGGTCATTAAAGTCACCACTTGTGGAACTTCTTGCTACAGTAGCGGTAAGAACACACGACAACAGTCTACAATTCCGTATGAACCAGAAATCTGCTTTCTTATTCAAGAAAGAGAAAGAAGTCTGCCTCCTCCGGAGGTCAAGACAGTCAACAAGCACAGAGGTGGGGGGAGTCTGGAAGGGCGGGGTCCTCGGGACGGGGAAAGGCATTTGGGACTTACCCACAGGCCTGGTCATCGCAAGAACTGGCAAGGAAAGAGAGAGGCACCGTTAAATCCGGGATGGGTCTTGGAGCAAGTATGACAGACAGCGTCTATGCTGCCAAACATGAACTCAGGGGAAAGAGACACTCACCTGCTCACAGTTTCCTTTGGGTAAGTCATTTTCTAAGGAAAACAAAGACGTTTTTAAAAGACAATTATTAGGCAGTCAATGAAACTTATTCCAAAGGAACATGAGTTTCCTAGCAATATAGATTTCATGTTACTATTATCCATGGTTATAGACATGGTTATAGACAAATGGTTAAAATAAGGTACAAAGTATGTTTTGAGACCATGGAAACTCTCAGCCTCTGTTGATGTGCCCACACGTTCCTGTGCCCTTATTTAAATGGGCACAAATTAACAATTCTTACCTGCTAACAATTCCAGAATCTGTCTACGAATTAGAGACGAACTTGCCGTGGGTTTAGAATCAGTTATTATGTGGTGAGTTAGTTAATTGTGCCAGCCTGGCCAATAATCACATGTGG